TGTATTATAGTACTGTTGAAAATGTTAGAAAAATGCCCCCCTCCCGTTAAAACAAGATAGACTGCTGCTATTGAAACATCAAGTAACTACTGATCTACCTACCTGTGGTTTGAAGTATTTCAGTCACAAGAAGTCCTATCGACAATTGTACAGGAGAAAAATTCAAGCAGAAACAGCAAGTTCAGATTCATGTCCAATGAGGAAAGTAGGAAACGGACTATAGAAATATGGACATGCAAGTTTGTACTAATCATAATTATGGCTGTTATGATTCACTTGAGTATTCGGTAAATCGAACCGTATCCATTCATGAATTGAATTCATTATTCGTGGCCACTTGAATCGAATATTTATGTATATGCAAGCATGTGCATTTACATAAAAATATTGATAAGAACACATTATATGTATAGATTTCTTCAAAAGACAACACTCTTATACTATATAATTTGACAGTAATGTGGTCACTGGTCATTGTCGCATTTGAGCAGATACTAGTACCTAGAGAAGTGCAGTATATAAATGTATAATATATTAATAATTTACAAACCATGTCAAATAATTTATGTTGTTATTGCTTCACTGAATAACAAATAATACATCAGCTGCCGACTTGTTACTGTATTCGTGAATTAATATTTTTATTCGTTACCTTCGCGATACGAATCGTATTGGCCTCATAGTGTATTTGTTGCAGCCTTAATCATAATAATGTAGTCTGCGAATGGACGGGCCGGTGTGAGGTCATCACTCGGGGCTGGTGTTACGTAAATACCACAGGCTATAGGCCGTTTCATACATGCATGATAACACGGTAAGTTTATCATAGTGTCACCTGTAAAAGTGTCACTGTATCAGTTAGGATAGGCTATATTAGGTAGACTTGTGTTATTTTGATATATGCTATTTTCATAGCTTTATTTCATAATTTGTATTCAATAAATGAAGCCAGAAAGCATTTTTCGAGCATTTCGACAGTACTTTAGTAATACAAAGTTCAAAGATCAACAACAATAGCAACCAACAACAACATAACTATAACGTACAAGTTTCAGTGTCACAGAAGCACAAAACCAAACCCCATCCTCCACGCCCCATCCCCCAACCTCAAAAACTGATATTCCCAAAAGTTTACAAAGTCTATCTGTCATCTCACATTTGAAACACAACAAAGACTCAAAAGAGACAGAACCCTAAGGAAAAAAGTAGAAAACAAAATAACATTCCAGTGACAGTAACGTCGACCACATGTTCTCAACACTGAAATCACACAGCAACAACTCCAAAATGTGGATCACACATGCTTTCAAAACCATCATCCCAAACACCAGTTCCAATACCACAAATCTATAGTTCTCATGATCGTTAAATGTTTTAGTTTAAGTCATCACAAACTAAACACTGACCTTACATCGTATGGAAGACAAAAATCCAAAAATGGGAATCCCAGGGACATATCCACCATTAAGACATCCTCCCGATCTATGTCATCCCTCCCTATTTCTAGTCCCATCATCTTCACGACACTCCTCAAAATATACTGGTTGAAATGGTCTCTTACGTCAATGTGGCTCACAATACACTTAATCCAACCTGATCTTTTGTTCCCCTCAATGCCTGAATGGGCACACTGTGTAGATCTCAAATATACCTACTGACTGCCACATCAATAGTCACATGGCTTTCCTACCTACACCGCTCATTCAATTTCAGTCAAGCTGAACAAGTAGCACACGGGTGGAAAAAATGAAAAGTCGCAACTTTTCTGGCAGGTTTAATAGCTGAGAACTAACGAGAGACATTTCGTATTGTCAAGGAGGTGATAAAAGTGTAATTCTCTATCAAAATGGTTCCCTATGTCCATATATTGGTTGGGTGGACAAAGTGATGGTTATTAATCGGCACTACATATGGTGCATCGTTTGAAATCACATACCGTATTCGACGTAATAACCGTCCAGGGCTCTCAAAATTAGAAAAAGGGGGCCCTTATTAGATTATTATTTTGGTGAAAAACAACAACAACAAAACAGAGTGGAAAGACAAATTTCATGGTTTATGCTGACAGCCTGAATGTTTATGTACGACAGATATATTTTTCCAGAATTTAATTGCCCATAATTAAGGGTGCATATAACACACGAGTGCGTATTATACGCGAATAAATAAGTCTTGTGTACATTGATCAATCAGAAGGGGTGCTTATTGGGATTGTTCACTGGCCAACATATCAGCAAATGTAGCCGTGGGCACTTATTAGAGCAGGGCGCTTATTATGTTGAATACAGTACTCATAATTCTATTTTCTAAGGCTTAAAATCCACCCGAGCTGAAAGAATGTCCCATTCGGTAGTTTATTTGTACTGACATGATGAGGACTGTGTCACCCCAACCAGTATGGAAGATGGGAAAGTGTGATGCTTCACATAGATTACGTTCATGCATTGCCTTGCATTATGGGCGAGGTCAGTGGTGCATGACTGAAGTGTCATGACTTGATACTTACACTCTGCGTAACACGGCTTATGTGGGTTATGTCCTCGCCTAAACCACACACGACAACAGCAGACCTCTGTCTGAACTATTAACTCTGGTTATTACAAATATTGTGAGGATCATTTGGTCCTGTTGAAAATACGCAGTTAGGTCTAACCCATTCTGTTGATTATGCCTACACCTGTAACACCTGTCACACCTGTAATGTCCTGTGACTATTGGGCAGTTTGGCAAGGTCTACCAGGCAGGACTAGTGCCAATTTCTAACGCAGTTAACAGCAAACATCAACAGCATGCCTAAATACGGCCTTAACATTTCCAGAATAGAATATACATGTTCATGTAAACCCCAAAATCTGTTCCTGATTTTATGAAAAGGCTAATTATTTACCTATAAAATTACTCACAGTAAATACACCTACCTGCCAAAATTGTAACAGAATTAAAAGAATAATCTTTACCACCCGTAATAGATGTTAATGGAAAAAGCATTTTTCAATTCTGTAAGCATGACACCCAGACATCAACCCTGAAATTAACACTTCATGAGCAAAAATGATTTCTTAAAAATAAACTTCTTAACCCACTAAATAAAGACTGCGACTTTGGTCTGAAGCAAGAGTCTAATCAATTTTTGTTCGGTCTAATAAGCTCAGCTAAAACAGTCCACATAACAACACTCTATTCTACTGAAACGTATGCTGAGAGTAGTGTTAGAAATTGGCACTAATCCTGTGGTCCTTGTCAAACTGCCCAATAGTTAAGGTATCATAAGGACTAGTAGAAATTTGCCATTTTTAAGGGTTTTGCTATATGTTTTCATTATAAGGACTAGTGGACTGAAAGCGTTACTTTCTACCACTGTGTAACAGTAAGAGTCGAGTAAGAGTCAAGTTTGGTAAAGTAGTCTCAAACTCAAAAGTGTTTCGCACAGATTGAATAAGTAATAAAATTATACACTATCCAAACTGCTTCCTACCACAATGTAGCTGCAACATTGGCAAACCCAACTCACTGGCAGTCTCCAAACAGGACATCTAGTCCTTAGAATGTGGCTCCATCAGCAGCTACTAGTCAGAGAACTAACCTTCTACTTCTACATAACACCGTCATACCAGAGTGGGTGTCGGCAATATACAATGTGTAGAATCTGACCCAAAATGAAGAGCACTCGGTGACTGACCCCCATAGGTTAGAACACTTCACCTTTGTCATGTCAACATCTGGCACTGACTGACTAAAGGCTGAAGTGTCAAGTACAGTTTGTTTTTTACAAATATACTGATTGAAAGAAATAAGGGAACAGCAAAATGCAGATGATGATGTTGGGTATAACATTTTGTTATACCCCGATAGAAATCAATATTGTACAGCAATGTACCAGTAGTGAACACAGGAGGTACTAGTGTTTCCATTAGTAACTTATCTTGTTGATTCAAAGCATTTGTTCTCAACATTTATCTACAATATTTCTGTTTGTTCATTTAAATAAGTATAGATAATTCACTGGAAACTGAATTTATTTTACAAATAAAAAAAAAATAAAAAAATAAAAAAAATTTAAAAAGAAAGAAAAAAACAACACCTTCTGAAAACGAACTACCAGGAAGTAAGGTTCTGAGGGGGGGAGAGAACCTATAACTTGCACAGATTTATTTTTGGCCATTAACTTAGCAAATTAAAGTCAGATATAAATAAAAATACACATATATTGATTTAATATTCAAATTGTAGAACATGTATGAATAACAAGAAGATTTTGAGCATACCCAAACTACTGTCCATAATCAACTGTAAACCATTTGAATAAATATAAGTTTGAGAATCTAACTCAAGTAAGATTGTTACAAGGAGTCAAGATGGTGTTACAGTGTATACAGTCAAGTGGGTGGACAAGTGGCAATGTACCTACCACACCCATGTACGTACTACCTGAAGTTAGTCAGTGAATACGGACATCCCACCTTCCGCAATGAGCACTCCAGACAAGAGCAATGCACCCAGTCTTAACACACAATACACAATCTTAAAAATTGACCTGTCATAAATAATGTAATTGTTTCATTAACACAAATCACCAAAGAGTACGTCACGAGATTAGTACACCTAGGTTATACATGTGTATATATAGCGAGGAATCAGCCAATCACCAATGACATGACACACTGATAATCACTTTCCTGTAATGCTTGTCATTTGAATCACCTGGGGATGGCTGTCATTGGTAATCATATCGGAATATTTGATATGACCACAAGTCATTAACAAGTAAACATTATCCTATAAAACAATACCAATTTGAAACACTTTCTGATTGTTTGTACAAAATAGTTACACTATAACTTGTCAAAAAAATAATGAAACAAGGATTTTATTTGATATTACCTCAACAAATTTAAAAGTACACATTATCCTTAAAACTATACTTATATGAAACACTGAATGTTTGTACAAAAGAGTTATAATAAAACAAGGATTTTACGATGAGGTCCCACATTACTAACCTTTTTCATCTGTGCTCCAACAACACTGATGAATCGGCACATTTGCACCACACCATTTGACAGGATCAGGATCTAATCTCATAGTTGTGGATTCATAAAACTCAGCACCAAATCCAGACAAATACCATGCACAACCAAAAACTATGAAATATAGTAGAGATCTTGAACTGTCGTCAAACTGGCAATGCCAATTTATTTACCACGTCTAGCAGCCCAAACCAAAACGAATACACCTCCTATAGTTCCTGAATAAAAGAATTCCCCGTCTGAAATATTTCCTATATGAAGGAAATCTTCACGTTCTTCGTCAACCCCTTCTGCTGTGCCATCAGAATGCCGACTAAGTACCTGACATTAAACTATCTGTGTGAAATATGTGCCAGTCATCCTGCAGCAATAACCGGCCAGGTTATCAATCAAACCAAACTGCCGAGTCATCCAGCCACAGCCGAGTGTTTACCTGATCACATTTTTTCACTTGACTGATCACGCATTTGTTATCAGACACTGTCGAATAGGCAGGTACCGTGCATGGAGCTAACAGGGATGTGTCTTCCTCAAGGTGGTTTTATCCCAGATCAAAAGTCGATAATTAATATTGTTCTTAATGACGTGCACAATCTGAACTGTCCTAGTACGAACAATGGATTATTGGTGCTTGTGTGGGTCTGGGTTATTAATAGCGATGCCACTGTATCTTTAATTATTCCAAATTGGATACAAATAATTGTATACTACTCCACTTTTTATAGAGATAGTCCAACGTCATGGTATTTACACATACACTTGCATATTATGAGTCAGTTTTCTGTATCACAGAAAGATTAAAAGTTCCCTATCAAAAGTGGAGTACTACAGTTCCATTTGAAATGAAATAACATTTTACTTACGGTTGTGAGATACAGGTTAACAGCTCAGAATTTAAATATTCAGTTATCCAAAATGGACCTGCTATTTCTTGGAGCTCAAAATGTGACAAAAATATAAAAATGACATTCACTGATAGACACTTCTCATTTATCTTGTTCATCGATTCTGATTTGACAATCTTATGCATGTAATAACACGGTCACAGGAACTTGCAGAATCGTAGTGATACTAAATAGAGAGAAGCATTCAAAAATATTTGCCCAAGAAACAAAATATTGCATCTTATTATATACCACACTGACAATGCACTATAAATACACGAGAAGAAACCTAGGCTACACCCGCAAGTTTGCTATCTGCAAGGATTGGTGTGACATTATTCTTTGGAGGAAAGCTACAATCACCCAAACACCTTGTTGATTTGTTCACACTGACAACAGCTCATGATGATTGTGCTAAAATGTAGGTATGAGGCTGACGACGAAACCCGGATTTGAGCGCACACCCACCCTGTCACCAGTTGACCCCCAGACAGCCTTGAAATACACAACTGTTAATACTACATCACGTCGCAGATTCAGCATGACTTGGTGAAAATAAACCTTATGTAGACCAAAGGTACAAATCGTATTAACTTTTCACCCATAAAAGTACAGAAAGGTAACCAAAGCACACCCTGATGCATTTGTATTTCACAGGGTATGCTGTACTGAAACAGGAAGCGTGTGTATGTAACAAATGAATAACCTGCAATGCAATAAGCACAAGAAAAAAACAAATATTTTTATTTTATATAGCCCCTACAGCCCAAACACTGAAAGACTGACAAACACAAAAATTATGTTGAAGTAATGTTGAAGGAAAATATTCAATGCAAAATGTGAATACACAAAAATGAAAAAAATATCAAATACATTTATTTTTCTAAAAAACATAGTTCCATTCATGACATCAAATAAAGGTTTAGAAAATATAGATCAACTGAACGCACATAAAAAGAATACAAATCCTGCACATTAAACTTGACACTTCCTATGAAAGTTACACTGGTGATGAACATGATAAAGCTAAATCCCAATCATTCTTCTTAATTTGACATGAGATTAGTGTACATGATGATGGAGCGCCACCTTTAGGCCATGACATCCACCTTGTCTGCATCAACACCTATCTGTGACAACTAGTGGCAAATCAGGATGACTCTGCTACAATACTGTCTCAGAATAGCATTTTCACTTGGGGCAAAGTAATTTACAAGCTGAATCGTGTTGAAAATATGTAATGCTTCTTACTCTTAGATCAAATGTCTTGTATGAATGGATATTTCTTCAGATAGAGATGTAATTCCTGTAGTGGTAGTGATGAAGCAAATTGAAAATATTTTTGAATACTAATATGCATAGTCTTGTTTGTGACCGTGAAGATCCGGGCTAGAATAGGTCTTCAGCAACCCATGCCTGCCGTCGTAAGAGGCGACTACTGGGATTGGGTGGTCAGGTTCGCTTGACTTGGTTGATGCATGTTATCGATCTCAATCACTGGATTATCTGGGCTGACTCGATTATTTACAGACCGCCATCATATAGCTGGAATATTTCTGAATGTGTCGTTAAACAACAAACAAACCAGTTTTGTTTGTTGTTTAATGTCGCAATCAGCAATATTCCAATAATATGATGGTGGTCTGTAAATAATCAAGTCTGGACCAGATAATCCAGTGATTGACATCTCGAGCATCGATCTACACAGATTGGATTCGATGACATGCATTTACCCTGTAACTGAGCCTCATCGCCTGATCCAGTGATGCCATTAGTCACCTCTTACAATAAGCATGGGTTGCTGAAGTCCAAATCAAACCCGGATCTTTACAAAACAAATACTATCTGAAGTAGTGAGTAAATGAATGTTGTTTACATAGTCGTTGGCAATATTCCAGTTATATGACATGGTCTGTAAATATTAGTCTGGACAAGGCAACCCAGTGATCTAGAAATTAGAACCTACTGACTTACTTGACCTTCGTATTTGGGATATGATGACATGCATTAACCACGTCAGCAAGTCAGACCACCTGATCCCATCTGTCACCCCATACGACAAGCATAGTCGCCTTTTACAGCAGGCATGGGTTGCTAAAGACCAATTCTTACCCATATCTTCATGGGGAATATGCACAGTCAATGACAAAGAATATAGTTCATTTGATTTCAAAGGTTGATCAGTCCTGTAAATGTTTCTTTAGCCTCAGTTAATAATAGCTGTTATATCCCAATAATTGGTTGCACAAGTGCATGTTTTATATAGCTAAATTTAGCCCTGTATATATTCCTATATATAAGGAAGTGACAAATCTATCAGAAACCTCAACCATTGATTTCTTTAGTGATATAACATCAACAAGCAACTATCAATGCTATTCATGCAATCTTTGTGGCCATGCAAGCCTACTTCCTGCAACCATAATAGCTCTAAAGTTGCTGCGTCACCCCAGCTAACTGCCTTGCCAAATCCCAGCAAAGCAGACACAAAGCTACCATTTACTTCTGTCTGTCTGACTGTTGAACTTTCCTGCAAGTCATGGAAGTACAGAGGCCATCCAGGAAGATATGCAACAACACAAATGGCTACCCCCCCACCCCACCCCAGGTGATTCTCTACTTTGTATTCATCATGCAAACAAACAGAACACGGGTGGTCAAAAGTTTGCAAGTCATCCTACCTGCTTTACTTGTTGCCATGGATCCTTAACGTCAACAATTGTAACGTTGGCTAAAAGAACAAAATTCATTTACTTTAGGATTTTTCTCAAAACCAAACTTTGTGCATGTTTCCCATCATACAGAACAAAATGGCTCCATACCCGGGGCATTAATTTCCACAGCAGTTTGGAAAATTGAGATAAGAAAGGTATTTATTATTTCATGTTGGAACGAAAATTCAGGACAGATGGAAGATGGAAAACAGGAAAAAATACATACAGCCTTATCAGAGTTACAATCATCTTAGCACTGAGATTGCTTTGTGAAATCAGGGCCCAGCTGAATAGACAGTGACTGATAATGTGATCATACAACTTGTTTGCCCCAAGTGCCTATTCCATATCCTCATCCCTGAGTGGTTTGCATGTGAATGAATTCATAATGTCTAATGCCACAGGTAGCAAAATAGATTATGACAGTTTGTTGTGTAAATAACTTGCTTCGGAACAGGGTCCAATTCCACAAAGTGATCTTTGCACTTTGACCTCATTCTTTAACATAGACTTATGACAGTCATGGGCGGATACAGAGAGAGAGAGAGGGGGTGGTGGGGGGGTGGGGGTGGGGGTGGGGGGGGGGGGGGGGGGGAGAGGGGGAAGAGAGGGTGCAAAAAGAATATATCTTTATTTCTGTATAAATTACCACCAAAGACAATAAATAGATCTTAATTGTGCACCCCCTCTTTTAAAAAAATCTGTATCCGCCCATGACAGTCATAGTGCTAAGATCGCTATGTGGACTGGGGTCCACACAGAGAGGCTGATGTGAGGGGTATGATGACACAGATGGCCAAGGTAAGCGCTAGGTAGGGTAGCCTAGTGGTTAAAGTGTTCACTCATTACACGGAAGGCCTGGGTTCAGTTCCCGACATGGGTACAATGTGTGAAGCCCAGGGCCCACTTGCACAAAGCAATCTTAGCGCTAAGATGATTGTAGCTCCCATACTTTAACATAGGTTTATGATAGTCTAAGCGTTAAGATCGCTTTGTGCAGGTGGGCCCTGGTCTGGTATCCATTGCTGTGATGTTGCTGGAATGTTGCAAACAGCAGTGTAAAACCCAACTCACAACTGCTGTAATCTCCTTGAGTGAGTGAGTGAGTGAGTGAGTGAGTGAGGTTTTACGCCACTTTTAGCAATATTCCAGCAATATCACGCCGGGCGACATCAGAAATGGGCTTCACACATTGTACCCATGTCGGGAATCGAACCCGGGTCTTCGGCGTGGCATGCGAATGCTTTAACAACTAGGCTACCCGACCGCCCTCCTTGATGTCCATTTATGACAATACAACAAAAATGAGGCACTTGGACTGATTCTGTTCTGGATTTACACAAAATGGAAAGTGGAGTCATAAATACCCAACAGCACAATGGACAAAAGAAATATGCCATTTTAACACATCAGATTGACACATAGGAGAAAAGACAATCAATAGAATCTAAATTACAACAATCTCTTGATCATATACCGACCAGTCAATATTAACACATAAACCACATAACCCACCAAGGACTGCGATCAACAATTTCTAATACTACATTCACATGATCTACCAAGCAGCACTGATATAACAAGGGCCAGATAATGACGTAGTCTCAATGGTTACTTAGTGGGTTTACATTTTGCAGCATATCTATAAAAAAAAAATGTTTGAAAAAGAATAAAATTGTCTTAATAATTATAGTTTTCAACTTTCATCAA